TTTACCTGCCAACAGAGTTTTCACATGGATACCGAAGAAGAAGGGAAAAAAAAACAGACACACATGGAGACGAACGATGGAAAGTGACCTGAATGTGCCATCTCTGACATTGAAAACTGCACTGGACAGGAAAGCATGGAGATTCCTCTCTGAACCCTTATGAGCCACTAGGCATAAAGAGAATTAATGCCCATGTGGATTCCCCAGGTACCCCTGTGGCTTGCATGACCGTAATTTGAAGGGGAAAAACATATACCCCCTATCTCTGGAAAAGCACGTCATAAAAGACAATAATTATAAATTCTAAACAGTTACCAAGGTAATGACGCGGATGATCTTGTATTTTCCATGGAGAGATTACAGTAACTTTACAATATGGTTTATGCATTTCAAAGAGGAGGAGGGGGGGGGGCGGATTCATTTTTGTGCTTCATAATAGGAATGTTGACTCAACTCTTTAGTATAGTAATACACATTAGAGATAAACGGAATATGCCAGGCTATAAATTGTGCAATGTATCGTTTGTGTCGGCATAACTGAAATAGATTGGATATCGCATCCTAACTGAAAGCAACCACAAGTGAACGTGCCAACCGCCCTTTTAAAGGCTAACAAGGAAGAAGAAGAAGAAAAATAAGAAGAAGAAGAAGAAGAAGAAGAAGAAGAAGAAGAAGAAGAAGAAGAAGAAAAAGAACAACAACAAAAACAAGAAATAGAAGAAGCTAAGGAAAAAGAAGAACAGGTAGCAGACACGGAATAATAGTAATAACAACTTTTATATATTTTATTTTTCATGTTCTTTTTTTCCGTTTACTGTATATATTTGTTTCTTCATGTTTATTTCACTGTATACAGATTTTATGCTTCAGATTTCCCAATCTCCTGTTGTGTTGTTCGGATTGACGAAATACCTCATGAGTCACTTTATTTAACAGTTCACGGGACAATGTAATTAGTTATTACATCTATTTTTGTGATTATGTCTAGGATACTATTTATGTGTTTATATATGTGTATATACACTATCCTGTGATCACTTAAATCATTAGCAGTAATAATAGTGCATGTACATATTATAAGTTCTGCAAAATAATAGGAAAATAAATAGTGTCGCGGAATAAATTTTTTGTAAAAATATGTTCGTGTAATTGTATTGTTGTTATTATCGTAAGCGAGCAAGTGGGAGGCGGACCGGAAACAGTTCGCAGAAGTCACAACAGCAGCAGACGGGAGAAATCTACAAGTTATTCTATTGGAATGGCGCTTCCAACTCAGGTCTTTCTTCTTGTGTTTTAGAACTGTCGTGTGGCATATATTGCCCCCTTTTACCATACGTGTTCTACATACTTTTGGTATATTATAATTGTACGAGAGGGAGATAGCAAGGAGATTTGGATTGGTCAAGTGGTGCGACTTCAAATGGGAATATTTATCTCACTATCATGACTATCTGAGGTCGGTTTTGTGGCTAAGTCGATGCGAACGCTTCGTAATGCCGGGATGCCGGGTTCGATCCTAGCAGGGGGCCATGCTCCTTGCGTTGGTTTCGACAGTGGTATCAGGGGGCTGACCGTTCAGTAAGCAATGGCAAACTACTGGACGTAAATTTGCCTAGAGAAACCACACAACAGCCAGGGGCTGCTATGGTTGGTTTCACAACGTCCTGTAAGGGTACACAACTAACCTTCTGATTGCAGATTTTGGCTATCTTCCGAATAACGGTCCCAAGTTATCGAGGCAGAAAATATACACTAACAAGGCCTCAGTCACGTGTCAACTACGCACTTCCAAGAACTTAAATTGCGCACTTCCTGCAACTTCCGCCACTGCCCAGAGTATCCCCCATGCCGCGTGAGTAGTGTGGATTGGGGCTAAACTAGATGTCTGGGACTCACGAGCAGCAGCATTTCCTGCAGCTGCCTTCCTTTTATTTGCTTGTGAGTCCTAGCCATCTAGTTTAGAGCTAATCCACGTGGCGTGGGAGAATACTCTTGGCGGTGGCGGAAGTTGCCAGAGGTTCGTAATTCAGCGGTGGCGTTATAATCCCTGGAAGTGCCAATTGACACGTGACTGAGGCCCTGTTAGGGTATATTTTCCGCCTCGATAATTTAGGACTGTTATTCGGAGGATTATTATTATTATGGAAAGTAATGGCAAGATATGGAGTAAGCGAACACCTCATCGAAGTGTGCAAAAGTTTATACAGGGATTGTAGAAGTGTAGTTAGAATAAATCAGGGAACATCTCATCCTTTCACAGTGACATCTGGAGTAAGACAGGGGTGTGTCTTATCACCACTGCTGTTTATCACCTACATCGACAGTATATGCAAGAATGCCAAGATCATGAATGAAGATCTTAGTAAGATCAACGAATTACTCTTTGCAGATGACCAGGCCTTGATAGCAGATACAGCCATGAAATTGCAACAACATCTAACATCCATGAATGAAGAATGTAAAACAAATATTATGAGAATCAACACTGAAAAGACAGAAGTAATGTCAATAGGAAAAAAGAAGACAGATCTAAACATAGCAATAGAATACAAAGGCATTAAACAGGCATCTAAGTTTAAATATCTGGGAACTACATTTACCGAAGATGGGAAATTGGATAAAGAAATTAACATTAGATGCAGTAAAGCAAACCAAGTATTGGGACAGCTAGCCCCCCTCTTACAGCATAAGACAATCCCAATCAGCACAAAGAGACATCTTATTCCAAGCATATTTATTCCAACTCTGTGCTACCAGTGCCAGACATGTTCACTCACAACAAACCATAAAAGAAAATTAGCAACCACGGAAATGAGATGTCTGAGAAGGGCTGTAGGAGTGACCATAAGAGATAAGATCAGGAATGAGTTCATAAGAGAACAAGTCGGCACAGAACCAATTCTGGATTACATACAAAGACAGCAAGTGAAATGGTTTGCCCACTTAGAGAGAATGCCTTGTGACACCATACCATACAAAGCATACATGAAAAGAGAAGAAGGACGTAGAGCACGGGTAGACCAAGAACAAGATGGAAGGATAACATCAGAGAAACTCACAACAGCACGATGTGCCTATGGTCGAGGCAGCCAGAAGAGCTAGAAACAGAACCTTATATTTCCCTCGACACCCACAGCGGTACAAGAGGAAGTGAAGAAGAAGAAGAAGATTCGGAGGATAGCCCTGGCAACTAACCTCCTTCTTTTACTGCCTTTAAGACACATGTTTCCTTCGCTATCTCTTCAAGAAACTTCCAGAAAGTCAGTCTATTCTTCAACCATTTTACCACAAAAGTGAAAGATTCCAAATTGGGCTGGTGCTGTTAATTCAACGTTTGCTAGAGTGCCTAGAGGTTTTCAATTTTGGGATTTCATCAGAGTTCATTCCTACAGGTTAGTTGCATATCCTTTACAGGACGTTGCAGAACCAACCCCAGCAGCCTCTGGCTGTTGTGTGGTTTCTCTAGGCAAATTTATGTCCAGTAGTTTGCCATTGCTTACTGGATGGTCGGCCCCCTGATACCACTGTCGAAACCAACGCAAGGCGCATGGCCCGCAGCTGTTATCGAACACGGCACCCCGGCATTACGAAGCGTTCGCATTAACATAGCCACAGAGCATTCCTACGCACCTAGAAATTCAGCAAACATTGCCTTGACTGATGTGATACTCTAACTGTACTTCTAACAACACACCATTAGATGTAAAATTAAATCACCACACTTCTGGCATGGGTTTATAGTGCTTACCCATATTTTTAGACTGATGTCCATCATGTGTGATGTCAGAATCATGATGGGAACCTTTATCCCCCTGTTGTTCTGTTCAGACGACGCTGGGTTCCCACTCCAGTCCTCTGTTCTATTCTATGCAGCCTTGTTATAGTCATGGATAGAGTCTAGTCCAGCACCTTTGGCCTCTTCAACAACATTCATCTCACAGGTTCTCTTGGACTGCCTTGTTTCAGTCCATTTAACTGCCTGTTTTATGTTTGCTTCTCCACCAGTGGTGAGGCATTATCAGTTCACATGTGTAAGTGTTAACAGGTAATGAGTAAACTGGAGAGAGTGTCATGTTACATTACCACCTCAGCACTTGACTGATGGGAATATACATGTACAGCTAGCACTTTATTACTAATAATTGGTAGCTTTAGCATACTAGTTTCTGCTGAGTGCTGTAAACATATAACAAGCATTATTTTCCACTGTCTTCAAAACATAAACTGACTAATGTATTTGTATTGAATAGTAAACAGTATTAATGGGGTATGCAGTTGTTACATCCATTACATGCACTCCTCGCCACTGGTCTCCACTTGATGTGTCCAGTATATTGGTAGGCATACATACTAGCAGCAACACTGACAGTTCCCACAGCTCACTTCTTCTGCCTTTCTAACCCCAGTGGAGCATAGGCCCTCAAGCAACACCATCTGCATAAGGCACATGGCCAACTCCCTCAGGATCCATAGTGTCTGCATCATGAACACCACTGGAGTCATCAGTCCAGAACCCAAGTTAATGGTATCCCTGAATAGGTGGTCGTAAACGGAGGACGTCTGGCATGTGTGAGGGGTGGCACCAGGTGAATGGACTCCTGTGGGATATCCATTGCCTCTTCCCAACCAGGCAGACAGTAGTAGGGTGACCGATCATTTCCTGCAACATTTTATTTTGATGCTCATGTGATTAATTTTACATATGAATTGTTGCCGGGACCACAGAGCATGTGCTCTTCACTTGACACAGTTTTCAGCAGATAGCGAAGAGAGAGAAGGAGAGGACAAGGAAATAAGGCAAGACAGCCGTATAATCAGACTGCTACTGGCACCATTGGTATTGGAACTCTGCTGAAGATGGAAACTGAGTACTTATAGGAATATTCCCAGTGCTGTGATGTCAATTCTTGAATCAACTCAACTCAAATCTAATAACACCATTGCCTATATAAATATGATAGCCTTACAATGAAACCAAACCTTTATACTCTGTCTGACAGGTGAAATTTGCCAAGGACAGTGTGTATATTCACATTAACGTGCAGGATGCCAAAGACAAAGAAGCACATATTGCTGGTCGGGTTTTCTTACTTACTAAGGTTAGTTCTCTAAATTGTCTTTATCATTATTCATCTTAGACCATTGTATAATTTTTTGTTTTGCCCTGAAAAGATGAAGGACACATTCTTGACAGCCTTGACACAGAAATGTGTCAGCACACAAAGTGGTGCCTGTGGGTGAAGGTCACACATGGATGGAGAAGCATGGTCACTCACACCAGTCATCAGGGCACATGGATTTGTTATGTTCTTTGTAGATTGACCCCGTTCAGCCTATACTGTCATGGTCAGGGTGTTTGAGCTAGTAGCTTCCTTGTCTGTTATTTGTTGAATTTCAGTTATCTGCTGCCTTGTATCTTCTAGTCTATCTGTTGTCTGATTTCTTTAAGTGGTATCCCGATGGCTGCTGTTGCGCTGTATCCTCTGCTTTGTCAGTTTTCTGGAGGTGTTGAGTTTAATGGAGTCAAGAATTGACATCACAGCACTCAGGGTATTCCTATGCATTTCCCATCCTCAGCAGCCAGCGCAGAGTTCCATAACTAATGATGCTGGTTGTATGTTCATTTCACCTTTCCTCAGAGCGTAGTCTACCAGCTGAACCCTCTGGTAACACCCAGGTGCATCATTTTCTTGGGCCCAAAATAATCTAGTTTCTGTTCTGACTTCATTACTTGTTTCTAAAGGGATCTGACCACATCTGCCTTGTCATGTATCAGTTCACCACCCAGTGGTGCAGTTCCAGCCAATCTTTCTGCCTGTTCCTTCCCCACCACGCAGGTGTGGCCTGGAGAAGAGATCCAAAGCATGCTTACTACCCGTGACCTTGCAAGTGAAGCTTGCCACTCTGCTCGAAGCAATCCTGTCTTCACCTCTTTCAGCATGCTTTCAGAGTCTGTTTCAATTACGACATGTGTATGCATTATGTTTTCTAGCCACTGGCAAGCTGCAATGACCGCCTCCACCTCCATTCTCATGCTAGATATTGTGGTATTATATGCCAGGCTGTCCTGCACTAAAGATTTTCCATTGGCTTTCGCTGTTACCCTGGGGTGGTTCATGATGATGAAGAAAATAACATTTGTAGCATGTGTGGTTCTGGCATTGTCCTTGTGGATCTCATTTAGAGCTACCAAGTTTGTGCAGTGTGCTTCTGTGGCCTCTAGGAGCAGATGAAGCACCTTTGAAGATGTTCAAGTGCTGTGAAAGTGATTATTGGCACATTAAGAAGTGAAACCATTGCAACAAACTTTTGTTGTCACTCATGTACCTTCTCTGATGGCCTAAACATTTATATCTGTCCTCAATCTCAGTCATTAGTATTCTGGATGAATTCTGTTAATAATATTCTTCCATGCCTCTTGTCTTAGACCATCCATCATCATTTCTCCTTGCTTGCCTCTTCTACTGGTGATCTTTCCAGCTGTTAATGTTTTGCTACAACATTGAAAAAAAAAAAAACCTCAGTGTTGCTGTGTTTCAAAGGCTGCCCTACTTTTGTCTCTCAGCTCTTACAAATATATTTTTATAATTTTGCTTATCAATTCCAAAAGAAAAGAATTTAGGCCTTTGATCAACTCATGCAAAGTGCTTTGCAGGTTTTCTTATAAGTTGATAAAATTTCCTTTTTTTTTTTTGGCCCTGGATGAGCTAATAATTGATCCTTGTCAAAGTCACCCCTTATGACATGTATGATAAGTAAAATTTTTTTTTAAACAACTTATTGCATGGTAAACACACTGGTATGTAACACTTAATATACAAACAGTAATCTGGCCTAAAGGTTTATGTTCACATTGAGGTGAGTTTTTGCTCTTTCAGAATTGATCTTGGCTCCCAGGTGGGTACCAACTAATGTCATGGGAAGTAACAGCAGCATGATGTTGACCAATTCACCCATTGAGGGCTACTTGGTTTATTAAATATATAGGTCTGGAATGATGTGCTCAATACACCTAAGGAATGAAAAAGGGTTCTGTACGTTTACTTATTTTTTATTAATATGCACTATCAGACAAAATAGGAAGACATTTTATCATTTAATTTCTCGATTCTGTGGATGTAATAAACAGTGGTATCATTTGTCTTTGTGTTGTTTTCGTAGCCTGAAGGACACTTCATAGAATGGAAGGCAGAAGAGTTTCTCAGTGACACACAGAATGAAGAATGGGACATTGTGGGTCCAGTGGGTTACAGAAGTGACCGGGATGCTGATTCAGGTAAGTGTGAAGTTCTGGTTGAGATTTGGGGACAAATATTCAATTGTTATGTTGTTTAATGTGTCCTTCTATCTTTCTGCTTCTTTCTGTGAGTGCCAATCAATGCATGCCTATTTGTTTAATTTATACAACATGCTACTGACACACTGACTGATAGATTTATTACATATTAGGAAATTAAACTGAAGATAAACAATTTAACAGAGGGGGAGAATATGAACTAGAGGACAGTGCAGAAGTAGACTTTGAGGGGGACAAAAGGGCCAGTCAATCTATCAGAAGTGAACGGAACCAGACCAAAGATGACTACCACTTACTTGGCTGACATGGGCAGGCCATTATTCTACAATATGAACATAACATGTTTTATTGATAAAATACAACTGCTGTGTACTAGGTGGGTGTTTGGAAGGGCTGAATGTAAGAAGGACCTGTATGCCCAATTTTTAACCCTTTGAAAATAAAGTTTGTTTGTTCATTTGCTCGTTCGTACACCTCAGGACAAGGCATAACAAACTTAACTAGGCTTCATCCATATATATATATATAGTTCACCACTAACATCGGCAGATGTTAACCACCCATTACACAAAGCTATTCACGACACAAAAGGAACGCGTCTCAAAAGGGGCCGCTCTTGGATGGCAAAGGCTGAGGACTTAATCCAGCAGGTATGTGACCTAGACGTGATCAGCCACGGAAAAGAATGGACGAATACACCAGTAGACATGCATGGCATCTCTAAGGTTGTCATCACACTCGGAAGTTACTGCAGGGATCAAATTCCTGCGGCCGTAGACACAGAAGTAAGGGAACTGATAGATCAGCATTCAGACCCAGCAGATACCATCATCTACACAGATGGATCTGTGAAGCGCGGATCAAGGTCAGCATGGGCATACACAGCGCAAAGAAAGGGGAAAACGATACATGAGGACAGCGGCGCTTACCAGACAACCACGTCAAGCATGACAATGGAAATAGCCGCTGCTTCTAGAGCTTTAGCATGGGTATCCGAGCAAACCGCCACACAGGTAGTAATTGTCTCAGACTCAATGAATATGCTTCAGAAGATAGCAACAGGCAGTATGCGCTCTGAATGGATAGAAAGCATCAGGAAATCGCACTTAATCTCCGTAACCTGGATCTACACACCGGGTCATGCGGGCGTGAAGGGAAATGAGCGAGCAGACCAACTGGCAAGCACTGCACTAATGATTGCGGGAAAAAAGTATGGACAGAGCAGACATAGTCAACGCTGTACGAACTGGGCTAGTGGAGAATGAGGAATCCCTGACACTAAGACGATTGCGTGACATGGGAGTTAAGCATGGTGATGCATGTCTTTGCCGTCTTCAAGGCCGAGAAAGGAGACAATATAACCAGCTTCTCATGGGGACAATTAGTAGAAGTACTTTAGAGTGGCTGCTGCTTCGGAGAACTGAGCACGCATGGGTATGCCCAATGTGCAGTGACATTAATTGTGATAACAGAACATAAAATAACATCTTAGTAGGGAGTGGCAGTACGAAACCCAAGTTCAAGGTGTCTCCTTCGTGCCAAAGAACTGCATGGCTGTTGGGTGAACAGTCGTTAACGATGGCAGGCAGGTCGTTGTAGGGGTGACGCCTGCTGGTGGATGTAATGTCCTAAGTCCCTTCCCCGGCTAATAATGAGGGTACTGCTGGGGTGACCGTTTATTAACCCTCATATAATTCTTCCGGTCAAAATGGACGCTAGGTACGGCTACCCTTTTTTTTTTTTTTAAAGCCGTGGCAAATATTTTTTTTTTTTGCCAGACGTTGGCCGTTGCATTTTTGCTCCATTTGTAGACTGGAAGGATGTAGTTTCGTCGCCCAGCTTCTGAGTTGAGTGCATGGCGTGACACTGTGAGCTGCGTTTGTTTTTCGTTGGCACAGGAGCGGAGCATATGTGGGGTGACCCGTTTGCTATGAAGCTGAAACTAGGATTACCAAATTACCAGTTCACCACTTGCCCTTGTGGACTTTAGACACAAACTACAGAATATATAGTGCAAAACTATCCTTTTTACAGTTCATTAAAGAGGGATGCTGGCCGAATAAGTCAACCATATAATCAAAGTTATATAGAACTAACAAGGACCACCTAGACAAAAAATGGTGGGAGTGGGGTAGATTGTATCACAACTTATCTTTTGGTCTGAATAAGTTAAGCAGTAATAGGAAGAAATATATTTATTACTGAAGAGTATAAAATTGTAGATTTTCCAGAGTGCAATGACAGCAAATCAGATGATATGCCCACTTGGAGAGAAGGCTTTTTGTTCTGATGCTATACCATACAAGGCAAATACCAAATAAGGAGAAACTTAACAGCACCACGATGTGTCTGTGGCCAAAGCAGTCAGAAGAACAGGAAGCAGGACCTTAAATCTCTCTCGACACCTGAAGCGGTTAAAGAGGACACAAAGAAGAAGAAGTGATGATAATACACCCTGAAGTGAACCCTGCTACTTCTTGTTCATGTTTCTGCAGGTTTAAATGAGGGGGCTTCAAATAAAACTTAAAAAGTTTGATATAAATTTTAATAATCATGCCTATTTGTGCATGTTTCTATGCACTGTGCTTAACCCTCTTGACATCATTAACATCAATATTGAGAGGTTACACGACAGTGGCCTGGTTACTGTAATTGTTGTCAGGTTTCCATGTGTAATTCCCCATGTGCTGCTTGAGCACCATTTTTGGGAAACGTAAGAACTGACCCACAGTTCCCTGTCATATGTGTCATAAAATGTGACCAGTTAGAGATTTGCTTAAATGGGATGTCTTGGACCAAAAGGCACATATATCACAGCCCAGCTGAAAACTATAACACAGCATGCTGACCACCATTGCAACGGTGAACACAGAAGTAGAAAAAGAACTTCTGTAGATTGTTGTCATTTTTTCATATATTTTCTTCATTTTTTCAGTCACAGTGAATCCAAAGATGGACACCAGAAGAAAGTACAACATTGGCTTCAACATTCTGGACCTGAACAGTTTCAAACGTAATGCCCCGAGCCAGGGCTGGGCCAGCATCATCTTCATCCTCAAGGATGGCACCACATTCCCTGCCCTGCACTTCCACAATGGGGGCAGCAAGGCCTTTCTCAAGGAACTGGAGAAATTTCTTCAGATACACAGGTTTGTTGACCACAACAGCTTCCTGCTTCTTCTTTTATACTGACTTTTCTGTTAAATTGATTTTTTTTTTAAAATTATACTCTTTTACTATATTGATTCTTTTACTATAATGACTTTTGTTGTACTAGTTTGTACTGACACTACTTTATTTGCTAAATTGTACTTGTATGTTTGTATGTGCAGAAGATGTTTGTAAAACAATTTAAATGTAAAGGTGTCTGTGGGGAAATGTATTTTGATGGATGTATGTGATTAGATTTTAGTTTTTATTTTCCTCCCTCCAGTATTGCAGCCTGTAAGATTGACACCCACTGACTCAAAGAATCCGGTTTTGAATGTAAATCCAGCAGGAATATTCCCGGAAGCCCTGCACAGCCATATAAAAGAGTTATCTACGGGCACCCTATGAAAGTTGTCCTATGTTCAGAGATGTGAATGTAGTCATGCATATGCAAATTTTGAAAGATGTAACACGTAATTATATAAGCAAGACAAACTTCTGCACAGTATCAGATGTTAAGGTCGGTGGGAGATTTCACTTAATATCTAAATGAGACACCCAAAGGGAAATAAGGGAATGCAAATATCCGGGATCCACATTTGGTGTTTAAATTGGGTACCAGCAAAACAATACTGGCCTCATCACCCACTGAGCGTCAATTGGTTTATAAATATATTTCTAGCACCATATACCTAGTATGTCTAGTGGGATGGAAAGGGGTCTTTTTCTATTGTTACATGTCATGTTTTTTTAAAGTTGCCTGTACAGTTGAGATCACTTTGTCTGTGCACATCGTTTAACATTGAAGCATGTCTTTGTAGGTCACCCAATGATCCTCGTCTATTTATTGTCAAGAGTGATGATCCAGAAATGCTATCCAAGTCTTTCAGCGAGCTAGGCGTCTTCACAGATTCATCTGGGGCTTATGTGCAGGTGTTTGTTTGTTTTTTCAACTGTTTACATTCACAAAATTGAAGAATATATATGTAACAGCTTGTCAAAACTTATCAAAACTGAGAGATGAGTTTTCCTTTTGGGAAAAAGTTATCAGTATCTACTTCTATTGACACTCTTAGGGGTTGTTAATTCAGTTTCATAATTTAAATATTACACATTATATAGTCAACTGTGGGTGATTTGGTAGCAGACTGCCTTCCATTGACTTCTAAAAAACGATGTGAGCATTAACAGTATTAAAAGCTGTGGCAAGCTACAGAACATAGAATTGCCTAATAAAATTTGGCTTGTGATGCACTTTTGAAGATTTGCAACTAACAGTCTCTGTGAGATTTTTAAAATTCTCTAACTCTACACCCCCCATCTCAAGCAAATGTGACTCAAGCCAGATGTCTTGTACTGTCATTTCACTGAAGAGCTAGCAAGAGGTCTGAGGTTTTTTCATATCCTAGCCCAGATGAGGTTACTGGACAGGCCAACATTTTAGAGGGTTGAAAGACTGAGTTTCTCAGTTTTCTGCTTTTAACGACGCTAAAACATCTATAAGTGGCCCTAACCCCAAACCACTGACGCCCCACGAGAGAGTGCAGCCTAGTCCCACAACTGCATGCAGCCTAGGTCCCACAACTGTGTGTAGCCTAGGTCCCACGACTGCCTGTAGCCTATTTACCACAACCTGAAATATTAGATGGTGAGATGGAGTGAGTGTTGAATTTTTTAAATAATTGTGTGTATTTTTTTATTCTGTTGGAGAGTTTAGACTGTTTAATGGAATTTGCTGTATTATTCGCAATGCTACAAATGAGTGGTGAAGTTACTGGAGACATGAGGGTTAAGATCCCAATGGCTGTTTTATAAATATAACCGTGCTGGTCTTTTGACGGCAGTATTCTTGATCTGCTTATCCGCAGTTCAGCCTGGTTTAGACGCAATAACTGCTGTTGTAGTCTACTGACCCCAGGAATAGACCCATATGCCAAATGCGCCTTGGGTGTTGTGGACTCATGTCAAGTCGAGGCTAAGTGTCGCCTTTTGAGGTGACAAGCCTTGGGAGTATGCCAGTGTGTATTTAGGAGGCATAGCAGACTGACCGTAGTCATCGATCATTGATTCATGTTTGTTGTAATGTGTTCGTCCACAATAAAGAGACTGAGTGCACTAAAGGATCATACTTGGCGGGGTGCAGTTTATTACCGTGTTCATAGACAGTGTTAGTTATAGTTGTGTTCCTATTGTTATGGGCCTCTTCTTGCTCTCAGTAGGAACCTCATAGTTGTTTTGTCACCTGAGGGAGCTCTTGTATATGACTTTAGCAAGCCATACACCCTGGGTGCTTCATAGGTTACGTTACCTCCTTATAAGGCTATTACATTCAGTATGACCAGTAAATGTTCAAATGTTGACTTCATTCTTATTATTTTAAGCCATAAGTATGTATTGCGGTTCTACAAAAATGTCTCTCCTTCTTTATTATGAAACACCTGGGGGCTATATAAATTGTGGGTTGGTCTTTAACTAGATATTTCCCAGATGTCCACATTTTCTATTTCAGTGAGTCCCACCTACCATCTAGAGAGAGAGAGAGAGAAAGAATATTTTGCAACACTGCATAAGTTTTGATAAATTCTTTTGTGTTGGCATTGGTCAAGTCCATGTAAAGTTTTGTTTATATTTAATGTACAGAAATTTGTGAAAGATCCATACACAACCACGATGGGAGGCTTCTCCAGGGTCACCAACTTCCTGCGAGAGGTTCTGCTGGCCCCAGACAACATGGTCAGGCCACAGTCGGAGCTGGCTGAAATACTACACGAGGATATCCCAGGCATGGAGATCTCCCAGCTGGATGAATCTGGCTTTGAGATGATCACCAAGGTACTTCAGTGTCTTGTTTTATCTGTTCATTGTTGGGGATAAAAAGACAGTGTCTTGTCTTATCTGTTCATTATTGGTGATAAAAAGACAGTATCTTGTCTTATCTCTTCATTGTTGGGGATAAAAAGACATTGTCTTGTCTTATCTGTTCATTGTTGGGGATAAAAAGACAGTGTCTTGTCTTATCTGTTCATTGTTGGTGATAAAAAGACAGTGTCTTGTCTTATCTGTTCATTTTTGGTGATAAAAAGACAGTGTCTTGTCTTATCTGTTCATTGTTGAGGATAAAAAGACAGTATCTTGTCTTATCTGTTCATTGTTGGGGATAACAAGACAATGTCTTGTCTTATCTGTTCATTGTTGGAGATAAAAAAATGGCCCGTTTCAGACTTTGATTGTGAGTTCCGATCCCTATTTTGGGAAGAGGAAACAAAAATAGCTCCCTTCCCCCAACATACGTGTTGTAACAGGCAACTAGTTAGGGTTGTTAACTTCAAAGTCAGTGTGCATCTGCCTGAGATTTGAGGAACTAACTCTGCATATAAATAAGCCAGATATGTAAAACAAGCGCATTTACAATTCAAGTTCTGAAACAAGACTGAGGTTTCAGAAATGGATGGGAAACAAAAATTTCCAACCGCAATTTACAGCCGGTGAACGCTGACAAGTAGAAGTAGTACGCAAAACTGAAGCAGAGCAACATCTAGATTCGAGTATATTATTAAGTTTACGATTAAGGATTGGGCACATAGGCCTATCTTACATTCTGCCTTTCTGGCAGCAAAACAGTGAATATGAGTGTGTCAGAGAGAGAGAAAAGGGGGGGGGGAGGGTGGATTGGAATTAATACTTTGAGACATTTGCATGTTAAAATAAATATGAACAAAGTGAATAAGAAATAGGATACTTAATAATATAAAGAATCGTCACTGCAGCTACGGAGTGCATGCTCTGTGCTTGATACCATATTCAGGTGGAAACATCAGGATGTGGACAGATGTGATTGCCCTTGCCAGTCAGAAAGGCACATGGTAAAGACTTATGATGTATTTTGTTTTTATGTGCAGACAAAGTTGCCTCCTCATCCGACAGTCAAGAGATCAGATCCTCTGAATGCCCTACAGTGGAACTCCTTCCTTGATACAGAGGGCAAATTCACAAATGTTGAAGATGTGAAAGACATTATCTTCCGAGGGGTGAGTACAATTGTGAGAGACTAGATGTGTGAACTTAGCATTCAGTGTTCTCTGATTTGATAATTAGTAGATTTTTTGTCTGTCAGTTTGAACACAATATTTTTTATTATTTCCAGGATACAGATCCATTAGTTGAACATAAAATGTGTATTTATCTCATTTCCAGGGCATAGATCCTTCAATACGAGCTGATGTCTGGAAGTTTCTGTTGGGTTTCTACGACTGGGATTCTACAGCCAAACAAAGGCAAGATCAGCGAAAGAGGAAAGTGTAAGTACTCAGTTAATTCACTTTTTGTTCAAGAGGTTGAGAATTGAATATGCAGGCCAGATTCTCACATTTATTATTATTTTTTTTACAGCTTCATTCCTTGTTTTCTTTTCTAGACATCATTTATATTTTCTTTACCAGACATTATAATCATACAAGTTTTCATATCCAGACATCATCATGCGTGCTTTCTTATCCAGACATCATCATCCATGTTTTCTTATCCAGGTGTCATCGTCTGTGTTTTCTAATCCAGATGTCATCATCCATGTTTTTGGCTCTTCTGTAAACTACAGCCGGTAGACAACAGTAGACGGCCGTTTAGTCAGAGTTCTGTCCCTTGGCTACAGTGCAATTACGGAGTGGAAAAGGCACGAATCACAACACAAAGTGAGGTCGACATGCCTATCAGACCCAGTGCTGCGACTCAAATTAGCGACCGCGTTCAATTACCGCTTCTTGCGACGCATTACGGAGTGGATTAGAGGGAACGATACAAGTGACAGAATTACTGTGTGTTGGTGATAGACAGCGTGCAGTGCCCTACTGTCATCATACGGTTTGGGTTAGGGTTAGGGGTAGGTTTTGGGTTAGGGTTAGGGTTTGGGTTGCTACTTTGAGTTTGTGCGACAACGAGATGCGGCGACACTACCTGTAATCCTAAACCTAACCCACACCCTACCCCTAACCCTAAACCTAACCCTAACTCTAACCCAAAACGTAACCGTATGATTATAGCAGGGCAGTGCACTCTGTCTATCGCCAACACACAGTAATTGTGTCAATTGTTTCGTTCCCTCCTTTTCCACTCCGTAATAGCACTATAGCCAAGGGACAGAACTCTGACTAACCGGCCGTCTATTGTTGTCTAATGGCCGTAGTTGACAGGAGAGCCATGTTTTCTAATCCAGACGTCATCATACTTGGTAAAGATATATGCTAGAAGTGCATGTAGAGCTATAATGTGGTAGAATTGTATTTTAGAACTGTGCGTTGGAAACACGCAAAACCTTGATAATTGCTGCGGCTCCTACTTACTGTTCTGTGACACAACTGTGTTATACCTACTTGCACCAAGCTATTGCCTGTGAGCATTTGGTTGGAGACTGTTGACAGCTAAATACTTGAAACTGCTGGAGGAAACGTTTTCTTCTTCTATTCTTCCACCTCGTATCTCATCGAAGTGTTGGGGGGAGATGTAACATTCGTTGATGAGCTCTGTCAAGAGCACTATTAAGACTGATGTTCATTTCTGTAAGGCTGTTCTTGATGCCATCACTTCATATTTTCCAAGGTCTTCCACTTGCTCTGTACTCATTGTAACGTTTTAGTGTGGCTCGCTGTGGTGGATAGTACCAGGGCAATCTTGTTAGATGCTCAAACCACTTCATTTGTTGTTCTTTGATGACCTGTAACAGAACTAGAGGAAACAGTACTAGAGAATAATAACAGTTGTGGTGAAGTAATGTTGCCACATAAAATACCTCACTACACTAGTTTATACAGCAAACGATGGAATTGTATTTGTGTGTGTGCGCGTGCGCATGTGTGAGAGAGATAGAAAGAGAGAGAATGAATAAACTGTATTAAGAATTGGGCATATTGGCCCATCTTACATTCTGCCTTTCTGGCTGCAAAACATTGAATTTTTGTGAATGTGTGTTTGTCAGAGAGAGAAAAGTGATGGGAAAAAAGGGGATTTTGAATTTTTATTTTGAGACATTTGCATGTTGAAATAAATATGAACAAAGGGAAAAAGAAGGATGAATAGTTCATGCACACCTGGTCTAGTTTACAACTTGGGCTATGTGCACTTTTAAAATAAAACTGAATGGTTACTGCAGCTATGGAGGATACGTCTAATCTTTGTTGGGAACGGAGAACTCTGATGACCCTTGTCTTCATTAAAACTCTCTTGACAAATGGAAATAAAAGTGGCCGAGGCATGACCAGTTCACATCTGTAAGTAGTTTAGACAAAATTCACTGTCAACAGGCAACACTCACATTGGAGAGGATATCACATGGCATTTTCCTTCTTGTTGCTTTGCTGTAGCATTGAGTTGAGAGTTTGCATCCTCAGCTAGCATTGTAGCATTAGTTACTGGTAGCTCTCACATGTTACAGTTTTTGCATGAGTGGCAGCAAGTATTCTTATCGCTATGTCAACTCTAATAACAAGCTTTACATGCTTGGCAAGATGTAAATCGATTACCATATTTATAATTGTAAGCAGTAACAATAAACAATCAAATAATGCATTAAACATTTTTTTCTTTCCAGTGGAATCTATAAGCAATGATGTAAGCCTTTACATGCATTTTCTGGCCACTAAAATAGGCCAGTTTGTAAATAAAAAATAAAAAAAAGTGAATATTTATGTTATGTTTATTTCTGGCACATATACATTTGGATCCTCACTGGTGCTACAGAGGTAGTGTATTAGTATATTTTACTGATGTGATCTGTGGTAGGGGACCGTAGCACTTATGTGTTCTTTATTACCAGCAATAGTATGTCATGCACCATCAGGCTATGTATGAATAAATGGGTGATTAATAAAATAAATAGGTACTTCATCTGTTGACATTAGCAGATTCTGTGTCTGTCAATTTGAACACAATATTTTTTATTAATCTTATTTGTGGGGCATAGATCTGTCAGTTCTACACATAATTTTTATTTGTTTTGTTTTCAAGGCATAGATCTTTCAGTTGTAGACAAAATTATTACTTGTTTTGTTTCATACTGTATTTGTTTCAGGGATGACTACTTCCGCATGAAGCTTCAGTGGAAGACAATCTCGGCTGAACAGGAAAGAAGATTTGCACTGTTGAAAGAGAGAAGAGCTCTAATAGGTTTCATAAATGTTTTCTTTTTTTATGTTCATGGGTTCTGGGGCCCATTTTGGGGGAAACAAGACTAGACCCACTGTCTCCCTAACAAGGATGTCATAAAAGTTAGACTAATTAGGGATGTTTCCTTTGAAGTAGGTGTGCATCTGCCTGAGAGGTAAGGAACCAACGGTCAGCATATGAATAAGCCAGACCTGTAAAATGGATGTGTTTTCAAATCTTAAGTTCTAGTACAAGGCTATTGATAAGAACTAGATGAACAGCCAGAACTTTCTGTTGAAGTTTACAGCTGGTAAACACAAAGATTGATCCCATAAAGCTCCTTGTATTTCCACAGAATGGCTATTTTCCCATGAGGGTGCCACACAAAGCACTAAAGTCTGCAGATCCGACAATGGATTACCCCCTTCCCTTCTGGATGTCTGAAAAGCCTGCACATTTCATATGACATTATATATTCAGTAGGCGACTTAGTGGTTCTCCTGTGGCCTATACATCTGTTAGGTGGTTTGTGACCTGTTGCATTTGACACTAATTTTTGAATGTCATTAAAAAGTATGCTCCCAGGTCGACCCAGCCTTGAGTGGGTACCGGGTGCAGTCCAGGCAAGTAGAGGCGGCCGGCGTGATGCTGACCACATCACGGATCTTGTGCCGTTGGTCTATTAAATATATGTCTGGCCCCATATGCCCTATACGCCTAAAGGCGTAGAAAAGGGTCCTTTACTGGGAAAAAGTCTACCCAGTTGATCTCACTTACAGAGTTGTGTGATTGACTCCACTAGATGCTCAGTCTCCTGTTTGCCACATTCTTGTCTCCTCTACCACAGAAAGGTTCACTTTGTGGTGCCACTTCATTAATGTGAGGCCAAGATAGTTTTGCCTTCCAGCACTTTATGTGTACAGTTGGATATAAAATGTGATTAAGAATGTTATGAAATTTAGTAGGTTATCTGTTAGATATAGAAAGAAGGATCCACCTGAGTGGCGGCATGAAGATTGTCTCAATTTCTGAATTATATTGTCTCATAGGACTTTATAGGCTCAGAGTCATGCATTTACCATAGACATAGATTTGTGGTCAACGTGCACATACTGCTAAACACTCTGTGTTTGTGCACTGTCTGTTATGTATGTGCTCTACTGTGATCTAACTTTGTGTTAGAACTTTTAACTGCTTTAAGCATAATGTCCTCAGGCAAGGTTATACAATGTTGTGGAATGTCCTCAGATAAGGTTGTGATGCAATGTTATAGCTTGTCCTGAGACAAGGTTGTGATGCAGCGTTATGTAATGTGCTTCGATAAGGACATGATGCAATGTTGTGTAATGTCCTGAGACAAAGTTGTGATGTAGTGAAATGTCCTCAGGCAGGGCTGTGATGTAATGTTATGCAATGTCCTCAGACAAGGACATGATTTAATGTTGTGTAATGTCATCAGATAAGGACATGATAAAATGTTATCTAATGTCCCCAGACAAGGATGTGATGCGCACAGACAGAACCCAGAAGTTTTTCTCAGGAGACAAAAACCCAAATCTCCAAGTCTTGTACGATATACTCATGACATACGGATTCTACAACTTTGATTTGGGTGAGATTTTACTTGCTTTCTGTACGGTCTCCTGTGTGTTATTGAAGTATCTCTTGCACAGGATAGAATGGAATGAAAGACTGGGCTGTGAGCCTGATGTGACATGTAATGGCACAACAGGCATTTGATGATAATGATACCACCAATGGGATATGGGGTGTTAAGACTCTGTATGTTCTAGACCACATCAGACTGAGTGGGTTGACCCGTTTATCAGACTGAGTGGGTTGACCAGTTTGATCAGACTGAGTGGGTTGACCAGTTTATCAGACTGAGTGGGTTGACCAGTTTATCAGACTGAGTGGGTTGATCAGTTCATTCATTTGTCACCTTTTCTACTGGGGGAAAATTGTAGAAATTGTCTTTTTTAGTGAATAGTTAGCATCATGGAAGATACCATTGTTTGTGTGTGGGTTTTCATGTGCACTGTATGTAATATTGTCACAGTTGAAATGAGTAGGGTTGATTCTGTGTATTTTATTTAAGTGGAGTTAAACACTATGAAACCGTGAACTCTTTTGAGTTCATCCAAGTTGCTGATACAGTGACCAGCAGACACACACTAATACTAATTAATGAAGCCATTGCAGACAAGAAAATAGAGAAATGTACTGACCACTCATGAACTACCTTACTAACCTGGATATGGATAACACAACAGAGGCAAAGGCTGATATGATCTAGTAGCAAAATAGTGAGAATGGTAAATAGTTGATAAAATCATCAAATGATTGAAGGGTATAAAGACAGAGGAAAGTAAATGTTTGGTTGCCTCCAGTTCAGTTCTACTGACAGTGAAAGCATTCAGAATGTGAGCTGATTAGTAAGGCAGTAGGGGTACTTTGCTTTAAAATGCATTTCTGACCGACAGCTTAAGGCCACTTAGTAAATATGTGATTTGTCTGTACTATTATAGAGTATTTCATCTACCACTATTTGAGCACAGACTAAAGGCGGCTGTTGCAGTCTTTTTGATTATCCTTACATTATAAAATGTGGAAACAGGCTGCTGCTCTTTTTAGTGTTGTTTGGTTGTACACAATACAATCATCGGGTACCAACCACTTGGATAGAACTTATTCAGACCAAAAGGGGAGGAGATCATTTCACACAGTGTGTTTTCACAGTTTATAATGTAAGGATGATGATTAGGCAGCAGTGGTTGCATTAAGTGTGTCCAAATGTAGCAAGTGATGGAAATAATAATAATTAACTTATTGGTCTTGAACTGTTGGCCCCCACTGTAGGTACTGTGAGAGCAAAGTCAGCATTAGTCAACTGTGACAGATTGATAAAATTTATAGTGCTGATTCAGTAGAGTTAAATGATGAAGTGTCAAAAATTAGATTTGGAATAAACTAAAGAGCCACAATCAAAAGCATTATACTTGTAAAGTTAGTGAAATCAGCCCATGAACAACATAGCTTATGTTTTACTAGCTGTACCCGCCACGCGTTTCTGTGGCCCAGAATGGTGAAATGGAGAGAAGAGAAAATAGCTTTCAGCTAACAGTGTCTGTCATACCCCCCTTCCCCTCAACGCAGTCATATCTCCCTCTCCAAAGAATTGAAAAATCATCCGTGGCGAAATTATTAAAATAGAAATAGTTAAGAAATAAGAACTTTAAAATAATATTTTAAGCTCTCTCAGCTAACTGTGTTTGGCATAAACACCCCCCGCTCCCCAATCATATCTCCCTCTCGGAAAGATTGAAAAATCATCACCTGGAAGTCATATCTCCCTCTCCGAAGGACTGAAATCAACCATGGCGAAAATAAAAATAGAAATGAGAACTTTAAAATAATATTTTAAGCTCTCTCAGCTGTGTCTGGCATAACCCCCCAACCCCCAACCTTATCATATCTCCCTCTCCAAATATTGAAAATTCATCATCTGGCGAAATTATTAAAATAAAAATAGTTAAGAAATGAAAACTTTAAAATAATATTTTAGGCTCTCTCATCGAACTGTGTCTGGCAAACCCCCCCCCCCCCCCCCCCCCCCCCACCCCCAAGCATATCATCTTCTCTGAAGGATGGGAAAGTCACCGTGTAACGAAATACTGTAACTCAATTGAGCTTGGCATCCGTGTCCACCCAGACTTAAATAGGTAGCATTAACTTGTACAGAGAAGTAAATGTAGCCAGTGTAACAGCTACCACATCACCCATCCAGTACCCTGTACTACTGTAACCACTACCACCACCATCACAACAACAACAACAAAAACTGTCACTACAGTCTGTGTAGGTCGGTGTAGAAAAGAGGAGTTAGCCTCGCATGCTGTCGCCACGGACTATTTAGTTTAATTTTGCCCCCGACAAAGGAAAAAAACTTCATCACGTAACCAGTGATGGAGCCCACAGTGAAAAGTACACTATACTCACGAATAGCGGAGAAAAATACCTCGCACCCTTAATCTCTCCCTCTCCAAGGGAACAACTTTTAACTGACCTTGACATCCGTGTCCACCGAAACTGAACTGGACTGTAAACCGTCTTATTTTTTTATCGAGAAGCGCCGCGGGGAGGCTAATTAGGACTTAACTGAAATAAGATGTCTGCGAAAGGCGCAGATATCGCAGCCTAGCTGTAAACCACAACACAGCGTGGCAACCACCCTTTTAAGGGAAAAAGAAGAATTATCAACCAGCGGGGAATCGAACACCGGTCACCCACGTGAAGGATGACATACTTACAACTATACTACCGACGACTTAAGAGTTTAGATCAGATATCGCAGCCTAGCTGTAAACCACAACACAACATGCCAACGGCCCTCTCGAGGGCGAACAAAGATTACCCATGACATGATCATTGAGCATCAGGTCGCCACTGTCACAGGCTAGCTGTAACCCCCAAAACCGAAAAAGGCGTAGATATCGCAGCCTAGCCATAAACCACAACACAACGTGCCAGCCACCCAGTTAAGGGCTTAAAAAAATTATATCACCTAGCTGGGAATTGAACGCGGGTCACCCGCATGATAGGCAGCACAGCTACCAACTACGCTACCAAACATTCAAGCATATAGTGGAAATGAAATTATATAAAATGGATAGTTCAGTAAGAGCTCAGCAGTCAAATATGTCAAATAAACTAAAAACCAATCCGGGCCCGCAACGAAACAAATAATGATTTGACCGTTGCTGGAGCTACATCATGTGTGGTTTGTGCGATTTTATGACAAAAAAAATCACGCTTTGAGTCAGAGGCAACGTTGTGTAAAAATTTGAAAGCAATCGGTTCAGTAGTTTCCGAGTTTTTAGCTAACAACATCAGAAAATTAGCATTTGTATTAATATAGATTGCAGCTCTTCAGGAAAGCAAAGAATAAATACACTGTAACTGACCATGCATGGCATACAGTATATAGCCTAGGCATACAGTATATAGCCTAGGCATACAGTATATAGCCTTGGCATACAGTATATAGCCTTGGCATACAGTATATAGCCTAGGCATACAGTATATAGCCTTGGCATACAGTATATAGCCTAGGCATACAGTATATAGCCATGGCATACAGTATATAGCCTTGGCATACAGTATATAGCCTTGGCATACAGTATATAGCCTTGGCATACAGTATATAGCCATGGCATACAGTATATAGCCTTGGCATACAGTATATAGCCTTGGCATACAGTATATAGCCTTGGCATACAGTATATAGCCATGGCATACAGTATATAGCCTTGGCATACAGTATATAGCCTTGGCATACAGTATATAGCCTTGGCATACAGTATATAGCCTTGGCATACAGTATATAGCCTTGGCATACAGTATATAGCCTTGGCATACAGTATATAGCCTTGGCATACAGTATATAGCCTAGGCATACAGTATATAGCCTTGGCATACAGTATATAGCCTTGGCATACAGTATATAGCCTTGGCATACAGTATATAGCCATGGCATACAGTATATAGCCTTCGCATACAGTATATAGCCTTGGCATACAGTATATAGCCTTGGCATACAGTATATAGCCTTGGCATTCGACCCAGCCTAAAATGGGTACCAGGATGGGCTGTCCTGGCAAAGTAAAGACAGCCGGCGTAATGCTGACCACATTACCCACCGAGTGCTGATTCATTCATTCAGTAGCATGTCCCTCGCGGAACCTCGCTGCCATAACAACCCTCCGGAAAACCTTCCTATCATGAGCAAGATGTCCTGCGTCTGATACACCCATCTGGAGATCATCTGCCACATCCTGCACCCATCTTCTCCTTGGCCTTCCTCTTCCCCTCTTCCCAGGCATGTACCCCTCCATTATTGTTCTCTCTAGACTTCCATGACGTTTCAAGTGACCAAAATATTTCAATTTTCTTTGTTTTATTGTCTTTACTAGCCAACCCTCTTCAATATTCAGCTCTTGAAGTATGGATGCATTTGTTCTTTTCTTTACCCAAGATATTCTTTAGAACCTGTCTGTAACATTTGTATTCAAATGCATTTATGCGCTGTTCCGCTTGTTTAGTAAGTGTCCAGGTCTCACAGGCGTATGTTGCAATGGGAAAGATGCATGCTCTTAAAAATCTGACCTTTGTAATTCTATCTGTACAATTCCATAATTTATTCAGTTGTTTTAGTCTTTGAAGAGCAATTGATAGTCGCCATTTAATTTCTTTCATTGTGTCACCATTGTTGGTAACCAGTGCTGATGGTCTGTAAAAATATGGGACGCTCTGCCCATATGCCCGATGCGCCGAAAGGCATGAAAAGGGATCTTTACTATTTTTACTATACAGTATATTGCCTTGGCATACAGTATATAGCCATGGCATACAGTATATAGCCTAGGCATACAGTATATAGCCTTGGCATACAGTATATAGCCTTGGCATACAGTATATAGCCTTGGCATACAGTATATAGCCTTGGCATACAGTATATAGCCTTGGCATACAGTATATAACCTTGGCATACAGTATATAGCCATGGCATACAGTATATAGCCTTGGCATACAGTATATAGCCTTGGCATACAGTATATAGCCTTGGCATACAGTATATAGCCTTGGCATACAGTATATAGCCATGGCATACAGTATATAGCCTAGGCATACAGTATATAGCCTTGGCATACAGTATATAGCCTAGGCATACAATATATAGCCTTGGCATACAGTTTATATCCTAGGCATACAGAATATAGCCTTGGCATACAGTATATAGCCTAGGCATACAGTATATAGCCTTGGCATACAGTATATAGCCTTGGCATACAGTATATAGCCTTGGCATACAGTATATAGCCTTGGCATACAGTATATAGCCATGGCATACAGTATATAGCCTTGGCATACAGTATATAGCCTTGCCATACAGTATATAGCCTTTGCATACAGTATATAGCCTTGGCATACAGTATATAGCCTTGGCATACAGTATATAGCCCTGGCACACAGTATACAGCCTTGGCACACAGTATATAGCCATGGCACACAGTATATAGCCTTGGCATACAGTATATAGCCTTGGCATACAGTATATAGCCTTGGCATACAGTATATAGCCTTGGCATACAGTATATAGCCTTGGCATACAGTATATAGCCTTGGCATACAGTATATAGCCTTGGCATACAGTATATAGCCTAGGCATACAGTATATAGCTTTGGCATACAGTATATTTCCCTGGCATACAGTATCTAGCCGTTGCATACAGTATATAGTCTTGAACAAGTATACCTGCAGCCTGTGTGATACAGTAAAACATCATTAACACAAACTCACTAAAGAAGAGCACTCGGTTAAAATGAATAGCATTTTGATCCCAGCTGGAAGTATTATTGTAATTACTCCCCCGTTAGCATGTTTAAAAAACATAAAACGATCTCGATTTTTGGCCTCATGTGATTTGTGACAGCGAGTGTATTGATGTCTGACATATGATGCTTACTGTGTGTTCTACAGGCTATGTCCAGGGTATGAGTGATATGTTGTCTCCGATTCTCGTTGTGATGGAGAATGAGGTAGAGGCCTTCTGGTGCTTTGCTGGGGCCATGGAGAGAATGGTAAGTGTTACCTCTGTCCTGTTTGCGTACATAAGGTCAGTCCTGATAAAACAGGTCAGTGTAGTGACATTTTATTCACACAAGATTGTTTTTACATTTGTAATGGAAGATCAAAGGCCTTTTCAATAACAGTATAAACTGTTTTGTTTTACTACAATCATATTCTCTTTATCCCTTCAAGTTGGTAGGACAGGCAAACGTGTCAAGAACAACTGCTGTTTCTGTGGGTATGACAGGCAAACGTGTCAAGAACAACTGCTGTTTCTGTCGGTATGACAGGCAAACGTGTCAAGAACAACTGCTGTTTCTGTGGGTATGACAGGCAAACGTGTCAAGAACAACTGCTGTTTCTGTGGTATGACAGGCAAACGTGTCAAGAACAACTGCTGTTTCTGTGGGTATGACAGGCAAACGTGTCAAGAACAACTGCTGTTTCTGTGGGTATGACAGGCAAACGTGTCAAGGACAACTGCTGTTTCTGTGGGTATGACAGGCAAACGTGTCAAGAACAACTGCTGTTTCTGTGGGTATGACAGGCATACGTGTCAAGGACAACTGCTGTTTCTGTGGGTATGACATACATACTTGTCATAGACAGTTGCTATGACACAATTGTTATTTCCATGGGTATGACAGACATACCTGTTATGAACAGCTGCTATTTCAATGGTTATGATGGATATATCCGTTCTTGACTGTCAAGGTAAGCTAGTGTGAGCGATGAGTTACCCACTTGCAGCATGCACCGTAGTGTTCATTTTGTCCAATTGCTTAGACATTTAATCACAGACACCCAGTTACTTCAGTAATCTAATCATTTATAGACTCATTCTGTCAGTCTCTGGCTTACATAATCTCTGGGTTCACCCACTCATCCAGTCACAATCACCTAATCATGTACAAAATTACTTATCTAATCATCTGGTCACATTCTCTCTTCCACCTGAACACTGACATACCCTGCCATGTCACCCGATCACTGACATGCCCTGCCATGTCACCATTCAGTCATCTGATCACTGACCTACCCTCCATGTCAGCCATTCAGTCATCTGATCACTGACATACCCTCCATGTCAGCCATTCAGTCATCTGATCACTGACATACCCTCCATGTCAGCCATTCAGTCATCTGATCACTGACATACCCCACCAAGTCACCTGATCACTGACATACCCCACCAAGTCACATGATTACTGGCTTACCCCACCAAGTCATCTGATGACACTAACAAGCCCTGATCACTGACATACCCCACCAAGTCACCTGATCACTGAGTCAAGTCATCTGATCACTAACATGCCAAGTGCCATCACTGACATACCCACCATGGAGTCATCTGATCACTAACATGCCTTGCCATGTCACCATGGAGTCATCTGATCACTAACATGCCTTGCCATGTCACCATGGAGTCATCTGATCACTAGCATGCCCCACCAAGTCACCTGATCACTAACATACCCTGCCATGTCACCTGATCACTAACATACCCTGCCATGTCACCATTCAGTCATCTGATCACTGACATACCCCACCAAGTCACCTGATCACTAACATACCCTGCCATGTCACCATTCAGTCATCTGATCCCTGGCATACCCTACCATGTCATTTATATCTGATGCTGTCTTCCAGTGTCACAACTTTGAGATGGATCAGACCGGAATGAAACTGCAGCTGTCCCAGATCCACATTCTGATGCAGGTCTATGACCCTGAACTGTGTGCTTACCTGGGTAAGAACAGTCTGTTTCTCTCTGACATGTATCTATCTACACCTGTAGTCAATTTAGTCACCATTATGTTAACTCTTCTTTTCTGTAAAACTCTTCCCTTCCTTTTCACTACACCACTTCTCTGTCTCTCTCACTCTCTCTGTCTCTGTCTGCACTGGGTTGAAACTAACATTCATGGAGGATACATGACTATATATTTTAGACTTAACAGTCAGTCTGCATGTGTTGTATTGAATCATGATTTGGTGGCATCCTCTCTGCAAATGTGATGTTCCAGAACTGACTGATCATGCAAGCATCACTGGTTTCTTAGATTAGATACATCACACATTCTGACTTTGTTACTGAGTTGGAAGGAAAATCTGTCAACATTTCACTTTGATGTATGCAAGCTCTTTTCAGGGCTTTACTGACCAAAATACTAATGAACTGGTCATAAGTAGTCAACACTTAGTGTTACAGAGGTTTCACAGACCAAATATGTGTTTCACACTTGAAGTTTATAGAATCAGCATTTCATTATTGCACTAGCAGAAAAGAAACTATAGGTTTGAACAACGGATCAGTATCATGGCACAAGGGTTGTAACCCATAAGTGCTTCTTTCTACTTCTAACTGGAACTTGAGTCCAAAGAATATCAGCACAGAACTCTGTAGCACCGGCGAGGATCCTGAAAATACTTTGGGTGGATTTTTAACTTTTAAATTTTGCCCGGGCAGCACCGTGAGGCGTCCGATCTGACTATCCAGAGACCAGGGGAAATTACTAGAAGTTCACATGAAAAAATCCTAGGCTTCACCAGGGCCTGAACCTGGGACCTCCAGCTCATGAGGTGGACACCATGCCTTGAGACCACTCAGCCCCTAAAAAAAACCACTAGAAAATGAAATAAATGCATACATAACAGCCCTTTGGAACTGTAAGTATAAATTGTTCACATTTTTAAAGTGAGAAGGACAATAACCAGTCATAAGTTGGACAAGACAGGGAACCTTGGCATACATGAGCTGAAGGTCTAACCTCTGCAGGGGAATAAAGGAAAGAAGAAACTCAGAAGGAGCTCATGTCTTGAGTACTGTGAAAATGTTGGATGATACATTCTGACAAATACAAAGAAGAAAAATTCTTCTGAAGAAATCAAATAGACCAGAAGAATATTAATATCATTGCTGTGCCCCACCCCCAAAAAGACTTGACAGACAAATATGTTTGACTAGCAGAAATTTCATTAGCAGTTGGTCAGAACTCTGATTTGTTTACCAGTAGTTTAACTAAAGTCTTCATTCTTTAAAATTTCAACCAATCATTTGACTTTACCAGAAAGCCATGAGTCTGGTAACTTCTACTTCTGCTTCCGATGGATATTGATTCTGTTCAAGCGAGAGTTCTCCTTTCAGGACATCCAAAGATTGTGGGAGGTAAAATGATTGTCAGTTTTAACATTAGTTCACTGTAGGACTTGATGTCCATGATTGTGATGTGAGAAGTGAAACGAATGTTATGTCAGACTATCACTTTTTTGGGGTGCAGTGTAGACACTGAGTGCATACACACAATACACACAAAGTACATACACCCAGTGCACCCAGTATACACACAGTACTCACTTAGTACCAAACACACAGTATACACATTTAGTACACAAACAGTGCTTGCCCAGTACACTCTTAGCTCACACAGTAAACTCATAGTGCACACCGATTACACACTTACTGCTAGATCTAGATAACATCTGATATTTTTTACAAAAGTTACTCAGTCTAAAAATTGCTACTAGAAAACTGTTTAGAAGGTAAAGGTGGCTGGCATACAAGTTACCATATATCACAACCAGTGATGATCATTCATAAGATATGGGACTACTGCCCAACACCCAACAGGCCTTGTCGCTCTTGTTTATAATTCCTGTATACCATTTGTGGGAGTATCTAACTCTTCTGTGCATCTCATGCAGAGTTGAATGGGAAGAACGAAAAGTAAATCATCGAGTTCACAATATCACAAACAAAACTGGAAAGTTGCAGCTATAGAGCCTTCATCAGCACATACCTAGATCAAAGAAAACCACAGAATACAAGAGAAAACCTAACTGACATATCCTGAAGCAGCGTCACTGATGTCTTGCCAGTGGAATGAAAAGACACACTGTGCCTGAGAGTAAACAACCCGAAATGCCAAGGGCCCTAACTCGAGAATAGTCTGTATAGTCTCAGAGGGCTTAGAACCTGGGAGAAAGGAATGGAGTCCTAGCAGAAGAGGGATGAGAGGACGTGTAGAGAAGGAAAGCATGGGAATTGGTAGGCTTATAGTACAGCAGGTGTTGAGACTTTTAGAATCCAAGGTGAAAGTGAGATCTAGAATATGCACTAACGATGGTGAAATGCTGGAAGTCAGTTAGATGCTAGAATGAAAGTTGGAGAAAAAATCGATATACCTCCTCTAGAGCTTGGGAAGCCTACCGGTATATGCATGACCTGTCTGGTGCTTGAGGTTCCCCATGAAGAGGCAGGCATAGCTGGGACCCTCTTTGTGCCTATCACAACACTGCTGATCTGGTTGAAGTAGTGGCCATTAAACTCAAAAGAGTTGAGATTGAACACTAACTCAGCCAGAGGCATCAAAGGGTCAGTTGCTGTAGTTGCGCTGATTCTATTGTCTAGAAAGAACCACAAAGCCTGGAGGCCATCCCAATATTGAATAGAGGTATAGAGAGAGGTAACATTTAGGTTGAAGATGTGGTACCTGGAAAAAGAGGTGAACCAGATCGATTGAAAGACAGAGGTAGCATGGTTGGTGTCTGATGTAAGACGGGAGACCAACAACCAGGGGTTGCAAAATACGTTAGAGGAACTCAGATATGAGTTAAGGAGGACAGGCACCAAAGTAGATTTTGTGTAAGTAGGTATGTAGATTTTGTGTAAGTAGGTATCTCCTTTGTGTCATTTCATCCAGAATGGTGTATCTAATCTGGAGTAGATATTGTGTACATATTTAACTCTGTGTGTCTCATTAGAGTAGATGTGTACGTATGTAACTCTGTGTGTCTCATCTAGAGTAGATTGTGTGTATGTACGTAACTCTGTCATCTCAGTTGTTTGCCAATGCTATTTGAATGGTTTAACACCCATTAAAGTTAGTTGCGTATCCTTTACAGGACATTTCAGAGCCAACCCTAACAGTCCCTGGCTGTTGTGTGGTTTCTCTTGGCAAATTTACGTCCAGTAGTTTGCCATTGCTTTCTAGACGGTCGGCTTTCTTGATAACCACTGTCGAAACCAACGCAAGACGCATTGCCCGCAACTGGGATTGAACCCGGCATCCCGGCATTTCGAAGCGAAGTGTTTGCATCGACTTAGCCACAGAGCCGACTTAACACCCATACTCTTGTTTAAAACAAAACACAGTGGTTTGCTGTAAAATTACCTGCAGCAAAATTCAACTAAAGATGCCAGGAATTATTAAACTGTGTTTTTAACTCCTCAATCCCAGATACTGAAGCCAAATCTTCAGTACCATTTCTATACAGGTTTCTTAGCTCGGAAATGGAAAATAGAGCTCTGTTTCATTGTCCACATTGTCCTTTGGTACCATATTGTGACTAGTTTGCTCAAAAATACCACTACCACAGTTGTTTCACATTTGTCTAGAATTCTCACAAATATTCAGTGCTATGTAGAATTCTCACCAATATTCAGTACTGTATAGAATTCTCACCATTATTCAGTGCTGTGTAGAATTCTTACCAGTATTCAGTGCTGTGTAGAATTCTCACCAATATTCAGTTACTGTTTTTAGTTCTCACCAATATTCAGTACTGTATAGAATTCTCACCAATATTCAGTGCTGTGTAGAATTCTCACCAGTATTCAGTGCTGTATAGAATTCTCACCAGTATTCAGTGCTGTGTAAGAATTCTCACCAATATTCAGTGCTGTGTAGAATTCTCACCAATATTCAGCACTGTATAGAATTCTCACCACTTTTCAGCACTGCACAGAATTATCACTAATATTCAGTACAGTACAGAATTCTCACCAATATTCAGTACTGCACAGAATTATCACCAATATTCAGTACAGTACAGAATTCTCACCACTATTCAGTACTGTACAGAATTCTCACCAATATTCAGTACTGTACAGAATTCTCACCACTATTCAGTACTTTTCAAAATTCTCACCACTATTCAGTACTGTACAGAATTCTCACCAATATTCAGTACTGTACAGAATTCTCACCAATATTCAGTACTGTACAGAATTCTCAACACTATTCAGTACTGTACAGAATTCTCACCAATATTCAGTACTGTACAGAATTCTCACCAATATTCAGTACTGTACAGAATTCTCAACACTATTCAGTACTGTACAGAATTCTCACCACTATTCAGTACTGTATAGAATTCTCACCACTATTCAGTACTGTATAGAATTCTCACCACTATTCAGTACTGTACATAATTCTCACCACTATTCAGTACTGTACAGAATTCTCACCACTATTGAGTACTGTACAAAATTCTCACCACTATTCAGTACTGTACAGAATTCCCACCACTATTCAGAAATAATGTTTAAAAACAAGATGTTTCAGTAATGCGTATCTTTCTGTACCACCATAAAAAAAAGAGTCCTTCATGTACATAAGAACTATTCGCCAGCTGAACTCCAAGGTGGTAAAGTTGGACTTTAGAGGAATGAACATTAGTAGATCTGACAAGAGAGATGTAGCTGCTATGCGTTTCACATAGTAGTTTCAGGTCTGTCGTTAGGAATGAATGAACAGTGATACCTCTCAGCCACTTTTATTTTGAATGTAAAACTCTAACATGTTTCATGAATTCTGAAGGTGCTGTGGACTGATCGACCTTGCAAGAACTTTCATCTGATAATCTCACTGGCCATCCTTGACTCTGAGAAATCAACGCTAATGGAGAACAAGTTTGGTTTTACTGAAATACTCAAGGTGAGTGCATGTTAGATAGTACCTAATCTTTTAACACTGCCTCAGCCAGCTTTTACCTAACTCCGTCCTGTGCCAGATGTTACTTTGAACTGTTTATGTCACAAACACTTAAACCTGCTCTGTTCTGTTTGCTATTTCATCTCTTTTGTCACCAACAGATCTTATTTTAACTTATGATATTCTGATTGTTATCTATTCTGTCTCAGACCAACCTAACTTCAGCAAGCTATGTTCTGATTGTTTTTTTTCCCCCTTTGATCTCTTCTGTGAAAGAAATAACTCCCATTAACCTGTTATATTCTGATTGTTACTTTATCCCTTCTGTGATAGAATTATCTCACTTTAACCTTTTATATTCTGATTGTTATTTTATCTTTTCCACGACATACATATCTCACTTTAGTCTGCTATATTCTAATTATTATTTTATCTCCTCTGCGACATACATATCTGACTTGAGCCTGCTACATTCTAATTGCTATTTTATCTCTAGTCAGAAATATTTCACGTTAACCTGGTGTCTTGCACTTGTTAGTTAACACCATGAAAACTGAGGTAATGAGGATAAGCAGGAAACATAATATCATGAATGTTCATGTTGATGGTACTACAATCAAACAAGTACGAGAATTCAAATATCTAGGAAGCATATTTATGGATTATGGCAGACTCGATAGAGATATAGAAGCCAGGGTTCAGAAGGCAAATGCTGTCACCTAACAGCATATCAATATTAGCCTCAGTGCTTAGACACCCGAAAGTCTCCCTTCCAGCAAAACAGCAAATGATTAATAACATTTCTATCCCCAATTTTTGTTATCAGTGCCAAAATTTGGACAATGAACAAAGCACTTTTTTTACAGTAGAAAATCTAAGAGGAAGGCGACAGGAAGACCAAGAAAGGGATGGATAAATAGTATAACAGAAACGTGCAAAAAGATGAAGAAATCCATCACTCAAGCCACCAGGGAAACCAAAGACAAATACAGAAAACCACAACACTGAGCTACAACCTGGTATCAGTGAGATGACAACAGAAGAAGAAGTTAACCTCTCTCTGTCACTGAGTTATACCACTTCATTCTACTATATTCTAATTATAGTCACTTTGACCAACTGTATTCTAATTCTCATTTCATCTCTTCCATCGGAGTCATATCTCACTTCAACTTGCTACATTGCAATTATTATTTTATCTGGTACTGTCCCAGATCTCATTTGTGCCAGAGGTATCTCAGCCATACTTTAGTTGTAGTAACATACACACACTACGCCTCATGAGTCCTATAGCTTTTTAATTGTGGTGTTCACGAGGTATCTAGTAACTCCTGCAGCTTTTAACACCTCAGGTTCTATTGTTGCCTATGTCGCTGATTATCTCAGCATTTCTTAACACCTCAGATTCTTTTATTGCCTCTGATTTTATTAGCATTTCACAACTCCTCAGGTTCTATTGTTGTCTCTGTCACTGATAGTCTCAACATTTCTCAACTCTTCAGCATCTGATTTTGCCTGTGTCGCCAATTATTGCAACATTTCTGAGTATCTCAGGTTCTTTTCTTGCCTTTGTGATATTCTCAACCCCTCAGATTCTTTAATTGCCTCTGATATTCTCAACATTTCTCAGCACCTCAGGTTCTGTTGTTGCCTCCGTTCAACACTACACCCCCTTTACCCCCAGTGTTCAGTGGAGCTGTCTTGATCTTGCTTCAACTTGACCTTTACTCCTTTTTCCCCACAGCACATCAATGACATCAGCCAATCTATCCCCTTGGAGGAAACTCTCTGTAAAGCTGAGGGGATCTTCCTACAGCTGAAGGAGTACAAAAAGCTGCCCAAGGTTGTCAAAGAAATCCTGGGCCTCCTGCCAGCAACACCCTCATCCTCCACAGACAGTTGTTTATCCACAGCATCCAGCCCTCAGGTGGAGGTTAGACAGGAAACATCTGTATCAGCCACAGATGTCACAGGCAGGAAGTCCAGTGCTCCTGTAAATAGTTCCCAGAGTTTCCACTCGTCCAGCAACAGAAGGAACACTGTGGATGAGCAGGTAAAGATAATGACATAGGTGTACCAGGTGGGATGCAGGTTATTGAAGTCATGAAATCGTTCATGTGAGCCTTGTGTACACATACAGATGGAGCAGTATGTATTTAAGTGCATGTGGATTCAGGGATGGTGTCCATACAGATGGATTTGATTTGTATATGTATTAAAGAGCAGAAGAATTCAAAGTTGGTGTACATTAAGATGGAGCAATGCAGATTTAAACTTAGTATGCATTTAAAGAAATGTGTATTCTGGAGAACAACTTAATCAAATGAGATCGAAATACTTGTTTTTACAACTTCTTATTTGTCCGAGGTTTTGCCAGATCTTGTCTTTCATAATTTGCTTGTTTGCTCATGTCAGATAGAAAATTTTTTGAAACTCTAGGAATTGTATCTGAGAAGATGTAAGGAAAAATAGTGCACGTGCACAAGGAGAATATAGGGAGGAATAGAGTTTTTGAACAAGAAACATATTGGGGAAGGAAAGGGTGTATGCATAAGGATAGTGTAGTGAAGTATAACATATACACACAAGGGCATGTTGGGAAGGGAGAGGATATGCACAAAAGGAAGATATGGGGAAGAAGACCTTGTGTGCACAAGAAAGCTGCAGGAGAAGGGGATATGTGCACAAAGCGATGTATAGAGAGAGTATATACACAGGGAGATATATAGTTTATTGTGTGAGCTCAAAGAAACTACAGAATTAGGTATGTTCACAAGAAAGATATAAAACAAGAGAGGCTGTGTACGCATGGGAGATATATTACACTTTATGGTAAATGACAGGGGAGATGTGCAAGAGAAGGTTTGTGCACGGAAGGATAGGTTTGGTGTACAGTAGTAATGTGCACAAGCAGAATGTACAGAAGTAGAAGTTTTGTGTGATAAAGATGTAGAGAAGAAGAAGGTTTGGGTACAGGAAGAAGGTATGGGTACAAGGGAGAAGGTTTGTATACAAGGGGGATGGTGTGAGTACAGTGGAAAAGGTTTGGGTACAAGGGAGAAGGTTTGGGTACAAGGGAGAAGGTGCAGGTACAAAAGAGAAGGTATGGGTACAAGGGAGATGTACAGAAGGAGAGAGTTTTGCTCAAAACTGGTCAGAAGCAAATAGCAAGATGTTTCCTGCCCTAGCCACTGCACAAACAGAGATGGGTGGAGAGAGAGAGAGCAAACTGAACTGTAGAAGAAGCCACTAGAAAGATTGAAATCATCAGACAGTCTGAATTAGAAGTTATTGAGAGCAACTGTTGCTGTCGTTTATTTGTGACTATGTAGCTGGAGAAGCCTTAGAACAGCTTTAACACACCAAGCACTGTAAAGGTTCCTGTACCTGCTTTCAGTAACAAAGGTTAATGAGAAAGAGAGTAACATAAACTGTGTGGTGTATGCGTGCAGAGATGCCTGTGTGTAGTGTGTTTCTTCAGCAAGGTAGACAAACATGGCATGATCCATTGGTAAACTCCATGTGGTATCAAATAGGTCATTATCTACTGACCAGCTGCCGCATCAGTTGTGTGTTGTTCAGCTGATCACCTATCATATTTTGATAAAAGATCACTTAATTACACTTTGAATGGATTAGTCTGGAGTGGGTTAAATGTTCATTACTTCTACTTTTTTAGCCCACTGAAGTAGATTTTCAATTATAGCATTGCAAGCTCTCACCCATTTTTCCTTCCTATAGTTTCATCCATGACTTTACATATTACCTATGTCTTGTCTCTCATTTCTGTGTGTTTTATTAAGTCATCCTAATGGTGTTCCCAGGCACATGTTGAAAGACTTCAGGACAAACACTGAAGCTGTCATATTTTGCTTGTAATACACATTCTTCAACAGGGTATTTGTAGGAAATTAGATGCTATCGGTTGATGTTTTATTGATGACTCCATGATATATCAAACAAAGCATTTGTCAAGTCATCCATACTAGGCTTTGACTGGACTACAGTATCGTGTAGAACATACATATATCTCCATTGATTAGCAGTTACAGATTTATGACATCAGTACTGTTCATGGGAGCTCCTGTCAAATGAACTCTACAATTAACCATCAAAATAGCCAATATTTACTGTAAGACCTGCTTTTGTTTGTATGTTTTGCTCATACAAATACAATAAACCACCTCCTACTATCATGACGGTCAAATAATCATGATGCTAGCAAAAAATGGAACCCACGGTTATTATTCTAAAATTGTAGTAGTACATGTACGTGAAAAATATCTACATTCTAATTTTAATCCAATGGGACTACACAATATAAATACTGAAAGCTTTAATGTGGCCACAGAATTCAAACCTGCCACCTGCAAATTACATAGTGCCTTGCTGAAGGAGCGAATGTACTTTGATACACAGCCAGCTAGGTACCCTTATAAACATATCTTCACTAGGCGCATTTTGGGTGCCTGATAGATTAATTGTGTTTTGGGTGCCTGATAGATTAATTGTGTTTTGGGTGCCTGATAGATTAATTGTGTTTTGGGTGCCTGATAGATTAATTGTGTTTAGGGTGCCTGATAGATTAATTGTGTTTTGGGTGCCTGATAGATTGATTGTGTTTTGGGTGCCTGATAGATTGATTGTGTTTTGAGTGCCTGATAGATTAATTGTGTTTTTGGGTGCCTGATTGATTGATTGTGTTTTGGGTGCCTGATAGATTAATTGTGTTTTGGGTGCCTGATAGATTGATTGTGTTTTGGGTGCCTGATAGATTGATTGTTTTTTTAAGTGCCTGATAGATTGTGTTTTGGGTGCCTGATAGATTGATTGTGTTTTGGTGCCTGATAGATTAATTGTGTGTTTTGGGTGCCTGATAGATTGATTGTGTTTTGGGTGCCTGATAGATTGATTGTGTTTTGGGTGCCTGATAGATTAATTGTGTTTTTGGGTGCCTGGTTGATTGATTGTGTTTTGGGTGCCTGATAGATTAATTGTGTTTTTGGGTGCCTGATAGATTGTGTTTTGGGTGTCTGATAGATTGATTATGTTTTGGGTGCCTGATAGATTGATTGTGTTTTGGGTGCCTGATAGATTGATCGTGTTTTAAGTGCCTGATAGATAGATTGTGTTTTGGGTGCCTGATAGATTGATTGTGTTTTAAGTGCCCAATTCATTGATTGTGTTTTGGGTGCCTGATAGATTGATCATGTTTTGGGTGCCTGATAGATTGTTCGTGTTTTGGGTGCCTGATAGATTGATTGTGTTTTGGGTGCCTGATAGATTGATTGTGTTTTGGGTGCCTGATAGATTGATCATGTTTTGGGTGCCTGATAGATTGTTCGTGTTTTGGGTGCCTGATAGATTGATCATGTTTTGGGTGCCTGATAGATTGTTCGTGTTTTGGGTGCCTGATAGATTGATTGTGTTTTGGGTGCCTGATAGATTGATCATGTTTTGGGTGCCTGATAGATTGTTCGTGTTTTGGGTGCCTGATAGATTGATTGTGTTTTGGGTGCCTGATAGATTGATTGTGTTTTACATGCTAATTAAAGTGTAGTTATATTTGCTCCAGTGTTGCTTGGATCTGTGAGTTTTACCAAGTACGTGGGAGTGACTTACCAAGTAGTTAGAATGTTGGGCTCTCATACAGAAGACCCAGGTTCAAAACCTAGGTAAAATGATGGGGAATTGTTTCTGTTGGGGCAGACATAAAGATCCTGACCTGACAGTTCATGGTGACTGCACTTACCATGCAAATCCTCAGGCTCACAAAATCTATCCAACTGCCCTAATAATCAAAAGACAGGTATTGTGTGCATTGATATAGTTGTTGTATCATAACAGTTTAGTTTAGTGCAGGTTGTAGAAACCTTACATGGAGTTAGTGATAATCTGATTTTACTTTTACCTCACAAGCAAAAAATACATAAATATTTACTGACTTGATTTTGTTTATATGGTAAAAGTTGTGTTATTTGTTGTTAATTATTAAATATATTTTGTTTATAATTGTATGTTCTATAGGTGAAACCTTTTACTTAGGTTTGTTGTTTCACACATCACAACATCTGTGAAGTTATATGTCAGGAGTGATGGTGGTGTAGTATCTAGTGCACCCTTCTGCTGGCTGGGTGGTCCAGGGTGTAAGTCTCTCTCAAGAGACTAGGGGTTTGTTGGTAACCAGAGAGTGATAGAAACTCTTGTAGACAGGCAAGTGTCTAACCTGACATGGAGCAGTGTAGTATCTAGTGCACCCTTCTGCTGGCTGGGTGGTCCAGGGTGTAAGTCTCTCTCAAGAGACTAGGGGTTTGTTGGTAACCAGAGAGTGATAGAAACTCTTGTAGACAGGCAAGTGTCTAACCTGACATGGAGCAGTGTAGTATCTAGTGCATCCTTCTGCTGGCTGGGTGGTCCAGGGTGTAAGTCTCTCTCAAGAGACTAGGGGTTTGTTGGTAACCAGAGAGTGATAGAAACTCTTGTAGACAGGCAAGTGTCTAACCTGACATGGAGCAGTGTAGTATCTAGTGCACCCTTCTGCTGGCTGGGTGGTCCAGGGTGTAAGTCTCTCTCAAGAGACTAGGGGTTTGTTGGTAACCAGAGAGTGATAGAAACTCTTGTAGACAGGCAAGTGTCTAACCTGACATGGAGCAGTGTAGTATCTAGTGCACCCTTCTGCTGGCTGGGTGGTCCAGGGTGTAAGTCTCTCTCAAGAGACTAGGGGTTTGTTGGTAACCAGAGAGTGATAGAAACTCTTGTAGACAGGCAAGTGTCTAACCTGACATGGAGCAGTGTAGTATCTAGTGCACCCTTCTGCTGGCTGGGTGGTCCAGGGTGTAAGTCTCTCTCAAGAGACTAGGGGTTTGTTGGTGACCAGAGAGTGATAGAAACTCTTGTAGACAGGCAAGTGTCTAACCTGACATGGAGCAGTGTAGTATCTAGTGCACCCTTCTGCTGGCTGGGTGGTCCAGGGTGTAAGTCTCTCTCAAGAGACTAGGGGTTTGTTGGTGACCAGAGAGTGATAGAAACTCTTGTAGACAGGCAAGTGTCTAACCTGACATGGAGCAGTGT